CTTTCCAAGCTTTCTGTTGCAAGAACAAGGATTAGAAACCATTTATTTCCCCTCTGCAGCTGAGGTTTGTCATATAAATGTGGTTACAGGAGCTAGAGCTTTAGGGGAAAAAAATGGCAAGCATCTCCATTAAAATTATGAATGTCAGCAACTCTCTTTGTATTTATGAAAAACTTAGTAAAGCCCAGCAATGAATTAAGATGGAATTAAGAGTACAATGAGTCCTGATAAATCCAGGCTTGACCCTTCAATTTGCCACTGAATTTCTGTATCACCTCAGGGAAGTAGGTCCTGCTTAGCTTCAATGAAGATGTTGAGTCTGCTTTGGCAAGGACAAGCAGAGAGTGCTCAGTATCTTGCAGGATGGAGTCTTTTGTTCTTCAGTGTTCTATATATAAGCCTCAGATGAAGCTACTTCTGTCTTGCTCTTGATTGAGCAGGGACTTTCCTTGACAACTTGACATACATTCAAAAACCGCTTGGTAACTATTAACCACAATTAATCCTCTGCAATAATTTCTGCACCATCATTATTCTGAAGGCATAATGATTAGTGCGTATTAAAATGACAGACATTGAATAAGCACTGAATATTGACATGGCTTGATGAGTCTGCCACCAGTATATATTGCAGGGACTGCATGGGAACTGTACCTGGAGGATCCCACATGCAGCAAAGCAGGCAGTGATATGAAACTGAAAAAAAACCCCATGATTTGCTAATTTACAACTAATAATTAAAAGGGCCTGTCAAGGAGCCAAGCTTCCTCAGCATGTGTTTATCATTACTTCTGAGAAGGTCATTGCTGGCTTCTCCAGGAAAGGAGTTCCAGAGAGGGTACAGTAAGTGCACAGAGTTTAAATGAGCAGCCCCGGTGCAGACATTTCACAGTCTTCAGGGATGCACAAACAATTCTGCCTCAGCAGCACAGAAACAATGCCCTGTATTCACAAAGACTACAGGAACTTCAATATTGTATGGAAGGGAGGTGGGGGTGAGGGAAGTCTTGAAATGCGGATAAATTGGTATTCACCAAGTGCCATTCCTTAATTTACAACAGTCTTTAACTTCGGAGGCAATTGCCAAGGTGCTCATAAAAAGAGAGATGATGAATATTCAGGATGTCTTCTGAATCCATTAGGCAACTGAGGATGAGGTCTCCATATGTATAACTCCGGCTGTTTTCACATGCTGGTAGAGAGAGTGCCAAGGTGGCGTCAGGAAGAAAAATGGCTCCTTAAGTTGCCAATGGGGAGAGGAGAAAGGGGGGAAAAAAAGTGTATATCAAGTGCATGGAAATGAGAATTTGTTTAAGTACAGTAATTCAACCTAAATGTGGGCTGCATGGCACGGCGTGAACCTGGTTTTCAGAGCAATCTGGCACAGCCAGCTTCATGGACAGGTGTGTGTAGGATCACTGTCAAGCCGAAAGAGATCGCTGAATGGTTTTCTTTTTCCACACCATCCCCTCCAAGGGTCTCAGAGAGCCTGAGCTAATTCAGCCTCAGGACAAGGCTCAGGATAGACCAAGAAGAGGAAAAGCTCAGTTTACAGAGGCTGAGGGATGCACTAATTGTCTGGCTCTGGGTAAAGAGCAACTTGGTGATGGAACAGGCTTTCTCCATCCGCTCCCCCACCTTCCCGTTTGCCTGCTTGACAACCTTTACCGAGATCCTAGATAAGGTAGATGAGGCGCTTACAATCGCAGTCAGTAACTGATGAGGAAAACATGCTGTCCAGCTCTTACATCCCAGAAAATAATGTCTCCTGGATGCCATGAATCACAGAGGATCACAGGCCATTAATCACCAAAGGGTGGAAGGGACAAATTTAAAGTCATGTGTGCCAAACACAGACGTTTCTCTGGGGAAACTCAGACCTGGCATGATTCATTTTGCTTTCTCAGTGAGGATTCACAAGGGTTAGAAGAATAAATAAGGCTACAGCCTCCCGAATTCAGCCGATAGCAAGGCCAAACCTCCCATTTAGGAGAGGATGCTTTGGTCACAGGAGGTGCGTATTGCCACAGCAGGCATGGGGGCTACGTAAGAGTGATACTCCCAGCTTCCCAGAGTCAGTGTAATACTATTCAGTCCACCTGGGTTTCCCCAATGGACTCTAGGCAGTCACTGGAATTTGCAGGGAAAGCAGAAGGGTGGCAGCCTTCGTTGTCCCCGTCTCTTGGGGTTGTTGGTATCCTTATTTGTTAACAACTGAAGCTCACAGCCTGTTGCTGGAACCTCCCTGGGCTGCAGCTTTCTAGAAGGAAGAGGCTATTCCCTGCTGTCCTGGGTTCAGCAGTAGCAGTCAAGCACTCTGCCCAAGGCCTTCTGAGTCTCATGCTCTGCCAGGGAGGAGGGGAAGCTGGGAGGAAGCAGAGACAGGACACCTGACCCAAACTGACCAAAGAGGTATTCCATACCACAGCACGTCATGCCCAGTATATAAACTGGGGGCAGTTACCTGGAATGGATAGATCACTGCTTGGTCAGGCTGGGTATCGGTCAGTGGGTGGTGAGCAGTTGTATTCTCTTCCCTTGTTATTTCCCTTATCATTATTACTATTGGTGGTAGCAGCAGTGGTTTGTGTTATACCTTAGTTACTGGACTGTGCTTATCTCAACCCGTGGGAGTTGACATTCTTTCAGTTCTCCTCCCCATCCCCCTGGGGGGGTGTGGGGGAAGTGCATGGTTCTGAGTTACCGGCTGGGCTTACACTGCAAACTTGTATTGCCTTCGAGTAAGCGGCAGATGTTAGTTACCTGCTTTTCCAGCCACGACCATAAAAGGTGGTGGGCATGGTGGGAACGCACAGAGAGGTCTTGCTGGGGAAGTGCTCAGTGAATCTTAGTAGTCTTTGTTGCTGCCCTTTAGGCAAATTAAGAGCCAGCAGCTGATGACCAGGTAGTGCATGAGGCTCTGCTGTAGATGCCAGGTCATCGCAGGTCCATATACCCAGCTCAGGGACCTTCAAGTGTGTGACTTACCCCTCCTAAGTATGGATGTGGGAAGAAGGATGTTCCTCCCACCTGAAAGATGCATTACCTGCCTATCACAAATTATTAGATCATAGTCATGGCTAGTTTTGTTGCTTGTGTAGCTGTTCGTATTGTTTCTTGTTTTTTCCACATCAGTATCCCATCCACTTTAAACAAAACATGCAAACACACCTGGAGCAGAACAAGCAGTTGACTTAGTAAAGACAAATATAGTTCTTCAGACTCACAGATTATCTAGCCACAAGGCCTGAGTTCAGTTCAGAGCTGAGATCTTCACTCTTTGCAGTGATTTGCAGAGCACTTTGTGTTCACACCACTCAAACTTTCTAGGGTGGGTTTCTTTTCTTTTTTAGGACTCTTTTTGTCTGACCCATCACTCATTATTTCGCATATGGGACTGGTCTCCAGTTCTGTGATGAAATGAATGAAACGTGATACATGAGAGAGGGTACTTCCATCGTTAATCCCCAGCATCTACATTCACAAACGAGTATCTTGCCCACATGCATGGGTATTTGCAAGAAGAACAATGAAAACGTGGCAATAGGCTGAGCAGCCCCCCATTTGAGTGTTTGCAGGAAGCTGTCATAAAGCAGGAGAGTGGTAGAAGCATGCTGAGTCCAGAGCATTCCATAGAACTGTTCCATGGACATGTTCCACAATTGTCTTTCCTCCCTGTGCTCTCAGCTGCAATCACCAGGAGCACACAGGGGCATGGGCAACACGAGGACATGCTTTTCCCACTGCTTCTAAGGTTAATATAAATAATGTTCCACAGTCTGTTATTGTGGAAATACCAGCCATCATCCTGCTAAAACAAGACCAAGAATTATAGCTAGACATTAATAAGAAGGGACCAAACAAAGCATCTCAAAGATGGCAGAATAACACCACCATAGTGACTAGCAAGATGAAATAGCCCCAGACAAGTTTTCCCTCATCTACTGTCAGCAGTCATCCCTTATGCAGCACTCTGAGGATTTCAGCAATGTTCTGGGCTCACAGCAGCAGAGGCTGCACTGAGGCATTACAGTTCAGCCGGTGAGCTCCAGTCTGTCAGTGGTGTGATTAGCCATGGTCTGAGAAGGTAGCCAGCAGTGTCTGCATTCCAGACCACAACTAAGAGTCTCTTTCACAGTTCATTGCATTGCAATGAAAATTAATTTTCCTTCATCATTTTAGTCTCATGAAAAGAGAAAAAAAAAGGTGGGTGGGGGGGAAAGGAGTGACTTAACAGGAGGGAAAACCCACAGGGCACTTAACTGAAGGAGCTCTCTGAAAGAGGCTCTAAAGATGGAAGTCTTGTCTGTCATCTCAGCTGCTAAGTAATACTAGCAGTTGGACTCTAGGAAAAATTAGTACAAACTGCATTGCAGAAAGGACTGCTGCAGAGATGTTCCTGTGTAGTTTTATGGTTGCGGTGAAGACCAGTGGGCGTTAAACTTGTCTTCAGGGGTATAATTTGGGTAAATCTCAACTTTCAAGTCTTCAGTCCCTGAACTTAAAAGGCATTAACCATGGCCCTGCTTCCAGATCTTGCACTTACAGCATTCTGTGCAGGTATTTGTGCCATCAAAAATCATGGCAGCTTTTCTAGAAGTGTCTGTATCCAGAATGGTTGGGTACATATTTTGGAAGCTATGATGACTTTCCCAGGCCTTTCTGAGGCAAAATGAAAAGCATCAGTTGGAAACAGAACCTCTGTATGCTTTTCCCTTGCTCCGAATACAAGGTTCATCTATTTTTTTCATTTTTTTCCATCAAGAAAAGTAGTGTTTCATATAAGTTACTGCACATGTTGGATGTTGCCAGTTAGGACCAGACTATTATCCTCTTGCCTGTGTTTCCTTTAGCTTCTATTGCCATAGTTCAGAATATTTCAGCTCCAGTTCTATGGAGTCATTTCTTATAGTTACCAAGTGCAATGAAAGGCCCAGATCATTGACAGATTATCAGTGGTGATGCTGGTATCCGTCATTTTCACTCCTCCATCATGGGAGATTCAGGCCTGGATATTTGTAGGAGGATGAGTGCCGGACTTCAAGACAAGCAGAATGAGAGGACTGGAGTTCTTTGTGTTCCTGCTCAACACCACCAGCAGCAGTACAGACATTCCACATTGTTGTCAAAGGGCTTCAGCACTGATTACCTCTCAGGAAGAGTAAGTGGTTTATGTCTCATGATATTCCATGCCCCTTCCCTCTTCCATGCCTCAGTCCTTTTTACACCTAAATAAAGAAACATTATAGAGTCAACTGTAGAGAACCACCTGAGCTGCTTTGCGTGGATGAAGGACTGACTGTGACACTGCTGGTATTTGAATCTCTAGATTTAGAGGGCTCTGTTCAGAACAAACCCAGCTTATTAAATGACAAAGTCATCTATTCAAATGCAATGAACTTAAGCTTTTTCTTTCTTCTAACAGCATAACTTCATTCACTTCAATGGAATTGCATTTGGTTTACACAGGTGTGAGGGGGAAATCAAGTAGCATATAGAAATGTTTTCTTTTGAAATATTTTTGGAGAAAAGGGGTAAAAAGCCTGCTTTTAGACCAATGCAAACATATTCATGGAAATTTTCATTAAGGTTGAAATTTTCTAGACAAAAACTGGAAATTATATCCCACCACCCCCCCGTAAAATAGTTTGATTTTCAAAAATCCCACAAACATTTAAATGGAAATCTAAATATTTTCACAAAAACTTTAATTGTATTTTTAAAGCTTTTGAGTTTCCTTTTTTTTTTGTTAATCAAAAATTGAAGTCTTTTGTCAAAAGACTTAGGAAACTAACTTCTTTTTTTAACATTTCCCATAACAGACTTTTTTAAGCAACTTTAATAGAATGATTAAAAGAACTATGAATATGAAACCAATAAAAACCTGTCACAGCTGAGACTGACAAAGTAAATGGAGGTTTACATATGTGAAACCAGGGATGCACATGAGTTGTTTAATCTGTAGGTTTAAGATGTTTCTGCTAACATATTTCATACAGGGGCAAGTGAAGGGCAACGGGAAGGTTTTCCTTGAATTTAGATTTTATACAGGTTACATAAAACTAAGAAGGAAATTAAAGGAGAACAGAGGGAGATTGAGTAAAAACAAAAAGGGATCACAAGCAAAAGCCATCTCTCTACATTTTGAGCCTCCTCAAGATATTGATGTCCCTAGTATGATATACTCAACAATTACCTAGAGCATGGGTTCCAAAATTGGTGTTCATTTTGTCCAAAGCAATTGGAAACCTCTGATCTAGCTACTTGCATATTTAAGCACTATAACAGAGATACTCTGGAACAGAATATCTCCAGGCAGTAGTTAAGGTCACTTCCTCATTTTTCTCAGCAACAAACAATCTGAATAGGTTCCTTCCCTTAAACAGTCATTCAGCACAGCAAAGTGCTGAAGTTTCATTCACGTAATGGTAGTGCCACTGCCTCATAATATAGAAGAATAGAGTGAAATTCAGAAAGTAAAGAACAAAGCCCTGAGCTGAGGTCTGAAGACATGACTTTCAAAACCAACTCTTCCAAATGTGAGACGGACGTTGTGACTTTTGTTCATGAAGCATTTCTCTTCGAAAGACCATAAGAGCTAATTATGAGAAAACAAGAAAGCGCTGTTTCACATGGACAGCAGAGGGCCCGGTCCAAAGAGGGATCAACCTTACAGAGCTTAAAGAGTATGGTTCATGAAGAAAAAAGAGTAAAAGAACATCTGCACACTTTCAACCTAAGACTGAATGGTTCCATCACAATCCTGCTTGCACTTGGCATTGCTACCCAGCATTGGCCAGGATAAGCAGGCACACAGCCAGCTATCAGCAAGTAATGCTGGCTGTCTGTGGTGGGAACCAAAACCACCCCAAGCTTCCTGGACATACCTGGCAGAAACAAGAGGTGATTGAATTCATTACACAGCCTCTTTCCCTCGTCATACCAGGTTGGGGATAACTAGAATTTAAGTGGTCTCACAAGCTACAGGCTGAGTGAATGTGAGAGGAACAAAAGCAGGGAGGAAACATTTGGACAAGAGTTAAAAATAAACTGGAGAAGGTGCGTTTGCTATGTTGTATACCTAGCAAACAGTATTTAATAATATAAGAGTTATAACATGCTGTAATATTCCTGAAACTTTTGTTAACATCATCCCAAGAGGCAGACCGTGACTTCTTCATTTGCATTAGATTGGCCATAGCAAAAAGCACTGAAATCATCATTTATGTTTAGAAGAAAAAAGAAGAGAAAATATGGGGAAGAAATTGAAAAGAGAAGAGAGGAAATGAGAGTCATCACACCGTATCTCTCCCAGAAGAACGAAAATCCAGAAGCTGCTTTCTTTCAGGGAAAAGAACCAGGAAGGAAGTTTTCAGCAAAATAAGGACAGCGAAAGGGAGGTCAGGCTTCCTCCTGAGCAAAGAGGGAGAATTTCTTTCATGGGGTTGCTGTCTGAGTCTAACAGGAAGAGACTTAAGAGGTTACATCTGCTAGGGCTCCCCAAGAGATCACTGAGAGTTGACTTGACTGCCCTTCAGCCATCTACACAGGGAGACATGTTTCCCCTTTCAGACAAGAGTATAACAAGGTCTAGTGACTACAAGATGAAACCAGAATTAAGGCACACTGGTTATAACAGGGAGTATTTTCAGTAACCTCCCTAGATGCGTGGCAGATTCTCCCATGATGTGAGGCCTCCGAATCAAGGCAACATGTTTCAAAAGGTAGGTTTTAACTTAATCTAAGGGTACAATTTTTTATGTATGGCTTATGGCCTTTGTTTGACAATAATTTAAATTAGATAAACGTAATATATCTATTTCTTCTGCCTTAAAATCTATAAAGTGCAAAGGAACAAAACTTACATTGTTGTCCTTTAGCGAAAGTTATTATAATGATCCATCTTTCACAGACAATTTTGAAGCACTTTATGAAATATTAACAACCCAAAAAAAGGTCTTCAAATCAGGTAGTTAAAAGTCAAAATCTCTCAAAGAAATGTCTTCTGCTGTGAACTACTGATGCAATTCAGGAGCACTTAGTCTCCAGGAACACAAATACATTTTACCCTAACAACCAGGCACAGCCACCAAAGTGTTCTGTTTTATTCCAGTCTCCTGAAGTAAGTAGAAAAGAAACAAAGAAATTCAAGGACTGTAATAGAAATAACTAGGAACAAGGGAAAATAAATTAAAAGATTCAGCCTTTTTGGTAGAAAAGACATGGCTAAGAGTCAAGTTCTCCTCTCTTGTAATCCAAGAACCTGAAGGCTTGCAATGGACAGGAGACACAATGAATTCAAAATGAATGAAGGAAAATGTTCTTTCACTGCAAATCCATTGCCAGTCCATGGCTGGCAGATTCTCAGGATTCAGTGGAAGAATCAGCTAATTCCTAGTTCTCCTCCAAACGCTACATACGTGAAGTCTCAAGTCAATATGTACACACCTTGGCCATGCAATTCTATAATCCTACAGATGGCAATAGCTGGTGAAACAAGGTGTGCACATTCAATGTGCTTGTGACTTCCTCAATCACACAGAAGTGCTTGCATTGGTCTCCCTTCTACAAGCCACACCAGCTCCATGTCATAATAACATTTCAGTGATCCACTCACAAAGCTTTAGACTCAACAAAATGTGTATTTCCTGTCCTTTAGGTTGTACCATTTACTGAGTGTAACATGACTTTAGACTGATCACTACCTCAGTCATCCTACTTGGCCCAAAGACCAGCTGCAGAGGACTCTTCCTTCAAAGTCAAATGCCATCATCTTAACAGCAAAGAGTGAGCATGCCTTCCCAGAGGACTATGAGAACTATGAAACAAGCTTCAAACAGAAAGCTGAAAGTCCTTAAAGCATAGCCAAAATCTTTGAAGACTAAGGAACATATGGGTGAGCCAGGATGCAAACCCAGTCCTAACTTTACAGGCAGTAGCAAAAGCTTCCTATGTTTCTGGGCACAAATTATCCACTGACTAAAGGGCATTGGGAACAGTATTCCTATGTAATGGCATTTCTATAATTATCCAGTATGAATTTCTTTACACCTTTTTCCTAGGTCGTCAGCTCTTGGCTGCAGCCAGTAACAGGACACATGCAACAGGGTGAATCTGATTTTCCCATTCATTTCTTCTGCTCTTTGCCTCTTCTTTAGCTTTAGGCTTGTAGAGGAACTGTGTCTGCCTGAGTATTTTGGAAGAGCCTGTTGAATGCAGAAGCTACTGCACGTGTCATCGTTATTTTTGCAATTAGAGTCATTATTCTGTGCTTAGATGCCATGCAAGAAAATGAGATATAACTGCCGAGATAGCTGGCAGAGAGCCTAATAGATTATAGAGCACACAGTGTCAGAGACACAAACAGTACTCATCTTAAGTAAGATTTTAATACCCTTAAAAGCTGTGATAAATTATAGAGAAAGGCAATATAAAATGTAGGGTAAAGTGTGGGCTCATTTTATTTCAGGCTCTCTACCACGTGGGGACGAAAGGAGAGGGGGAAAGGGGATGGATCATGGGTTTTATTGCTTGGCTGCAATGTCAAAATTGGGTTGGTTTAAAATATTTATGACATGAGAGAAAGAAAATCTGTGAATTACTCAGAACTTAATGTACGTACTCTCAATGTGTTTCACATTTTCTTTAGTTGGGGACAGCAGAGTGGGGAATTGAGGATAACTTGTTTACTGCCAAACAGCTCTCCGTAGTACCTAGTTTTGCTATGTACTAAAAATTGTGGCTGGGGCCAAGAATGCCGGGACTGGAATTAAAGACAAGAACACGCAATAACTTTAAGTAATGGCAAAGAGATTTAAATAGCACACATCAGCAGAAAAGAATGGGGAAACCTACAGTACACTGACTTCATTGATACCCCATTTATCAGCAATTACTGACTCCATTAAAGGCAGAGTTTACAGCAGACAGAGAAACAGAGCCTAAAATATGTCCCAACAGATGGACGGAGAGTGTCAGTGATGCCGTATTTCAAAGGCATCTGCAACTTTGTTATCATTGTACATGGAGTCAGAAAGACAGCGAAAAACACTGGAGTAAGGGCCAGCAAATGATTTACTTGACCCTGCATGGGCAGAACTGACAGCGAAAACCTCATTAATTCCTCAGGTCATTCTGGAAGACATTAATTTGGTTTGGACTCAGGACGAGAGGAGATTTTCCAGACGTACACCAGGAATTATGAAATCTCTATAGCCAGAGGAAAGTATGTCCAAATCACTTTCTGCATAAATCACGCTGACTTTCTGAAGAAGGATAATATGCCTAATCAGGGGAGTTATGGAACTTCTTGTACTTATTAGACAGAAAATAAAACAGTATTTTATTTGATAATCAGCTTGGGGAAGATTTTTTTTTTCCCCTCTTTCTTTTACTGCTGTCTTCTGTTGCCAGAGATGAGTTGGAAAAAGACCCTGATGCATGAATATTTGCAAGTGCTATAATATTATTTGCTGGTGTGGCGATACGTGGGTATGTACTTAAAGAGAGAGTTATTTCTATAGATATAGATAATAGATATGTATAATTTTAGCCTGCCTGCTGTATTTACACATCTTTTGGCCTTTTACCTCTGTGCTGCAGAATGCCAAGTACCATCACCTTCCCCCTCTTATTCTGTTTAACTCTTACTTATCCTCAGCCAAAAGCATCTGCGTGAACAGGGCAAGCAGAGTGGAGCTTCTCCTGGGGATGCAGCTCCTGTGCCATGTTTCTGCTGCTACATGGTCCCTCCTCCAGCCCAACTTTTCCCAGCATTGATGGACCCTCTTTTCCTCCTCTGAGACAAGGATATTTTGGCTCCAAGAGCAGCTCGAAAAGCCCACAGAGCTTCTGCAAATAGCCAGGAGCTGCAAGAAGTTACCCCACCAACCCCCCCGCAACACATGCCTTCCAGTACTTATACATAAGCCCTTGCCACACAGGGTATCTTCCTCCGTAAAAGATGCATTCATCATGTTTAGAGAAGGGTTATCTCCCTCTGGAAAGAACATGCATTAGTACTTTTTACTCATTCAACACTGGACACTCCCTATCAACAACAGCCTGCCGAAAGGGGAGAAAGAGGAGAATTAATCATGGAAAGAGACAATTTAAAGGAGTTTGGCTATAAAATGGAGTTCATTAGGAGGCCATAATGTATTTGGGACTAACAAGGTGCAATTTCCCCACCTCTGCTGGCCCAGTCAACAATAAGCAGCACTAATTGCATTGACACCACGTCGCAGGATGGCCACCTATACCCTCTTTTAACTCCTTCCATGGAGCAGTCGCACAAAAAGTTATTATTGCACCTACTGCAAGCACAAGTTCTCTTTCAAGATGCTTAGCTCCTTATCTCCTTGGATTGAGAGAAAACAGTGTTAAGTGGTCTGCAGTTTTCACTCTGGAGCTAAGGTTGTAATAATAAGCATGTTACTTGGCTCCAAGATTGCATTTAGAGAGATCTCAAAGCACATTACAAATGCATATGGCACAGACAGCGTATCGCTATAGGCACAGAACCAAGTAACCACAGTTGGGAACACAGCACAAAGAACTTTTTTCCATCCATCCTCCAGGACATGACAGTGTCCATTTCCCCCTGCTTTTCTGGTTTGGCTTGTTAAAAAAAATATATTATGTTGGCTAATAATTCTTTTTTTTCTGGGCTTTAGATTTCTCTCTATTTTTGTTTCATGTTAGTATTATGCAAAACAGCCTATACAAAGCACTATTGAAAACACTGGCACTTTAGAGGATTGGGTCCAGGACAAAGAGAGAGGTAAACCACAGATTGAAATACACAAGTGACCCAAGTTTGTGCAGTGCTGCACGTCTGGACTTCTTTTGATTAAGACAGAACAAGCCAATTTTTTCTAAGGCTAAACTACATTTCAGTTGTTGTTGGGACGTTAGCTGGTGACCTTAGCTCTATGCTGCACACTAGAATCTAATACAAACCAAATATTTCATTTGGGAAGCTTTTGTTGCTCATCAGCTGCAGAGGTACCACAGGAGGCAACTTAGCCATGGGGAACTATGTGCTCTCCCATCGCCTAAGTGCTTTCTCCAGAGAGGGTTGTGTTCTTGCTATTACAAGGGTGAAAAGAAAGGCATTGCCAGCCGGCCTGCAGGTTTAGGAGTAGGTAACCTCAAGAAGGAGGACAAGCAACTGGGAAACATTTTGCTACGAGTAAGATAAATGATGGAAGCAACTTGCAGCGTACAAATAGCATTTCTTGTTTCCATTGATACTACCAGTTTAAAAATGCAAATAAAAAAAAACACCTGGGGATTCATTTTCATGCTCAGACTATGCAAAGGAACTGAAAATAGAAGTGAATTGTATGTATGACCAGTTTGGCTGATAGAGTGATAGAAATCGATCTTGGCATAAATGAAAATCAGACCACAGGAAGGTCTCTGTTCAGTCGTGGTGACTAGATGCCTGAATCCAGAAAAATATGTATTTTTAAATAAAATGGCCACATTTCAAATAACATTTGAGGTTATTCAAATATTAAGAGATATGGTTCTTATTCCTTGCACCCTCTGTAGGTCTTTTCTTTTTTCTTATTCGCTTTTTCTCCCTCTTCTCTCCTTCCGTTTTTCCTTTCTCTTCCTTCCCCCACTTCGGTCAGCATAAAGACCAAACTGTAGCTAACTACATTCAGTTTGGTTTCCAGTCATCTCCTGCTGAATTTTACTTTCAGATTCTCATGCTCAACAAAATGCTAGAAAATCTAAGTTGAAAATATGCTAATAATATGTTTGCTTGTTGGTCTTGTTTTTAAATATTTCTCCGGGGATTTGTAATGAATCATAGAAATATTTTCTACCAGTCTTAAATATTGTAAAAGATTATTTAATTTAATCAAAACTTAAATACTAAGCCAAACTTCATTGCACAATGTGTTGCTTTAAAAGAAAGAGCTAATGAAAAACACACTAGGCCAAATTCACTCTATTTTCTTCACCAGGAAGATATTTGCTCCTTTATTACTGAGGATCAGTTGTTTTGCTTCATTTTGCTGGGAACAGCCTGCAAATTTGTATAATCAGACCGTATTCTGTACATATTTTTCATGGCTATTCTGAAACAGTTCTGTCCTCATTTCTACCCCTGGAATGGCTCCGTTTTGAAATGTGAATCTTGGCTGGATGACTCACTGGGACACTAACTTTATCCTCATCTGTTTTACAGTAATTGGACTGGAGCAATTTCTGTAGCTGTATCTGGGATTGTTTCCTGCTTTGAACTCAGCAGTCATACTGTCATGTGTTAATTTTAGTGATTACACAAACTAGACTCCAGCCAATAAAGTTATTGTAGTCAAAACCATGGCTCTGATCCAAATCGCTCGTACTTTATCTGCGGCAGAGTAACTGCTGCTTCACACTATGAATGGACTAAAATCAAACAGAAGTATTCACCACAATAACGTGCCAGCAGAACAATGTGCAGTATCGCTTCTTTTACTATGGAGTTGGGAATTCTGTACAGCTGTCTTCTGCACTGGGAAGCTTGAAAGTCTCCTATCTCAGTTATAAAAGGACATTTATTCTGTAATGAAAGGTGAAAAAAACCCCAAAACCTTGTTCAATGTTTTAGCTTTCATTCAGGTAAAATCCCAGTTCAGAAAGGGCATAGAAGCATGTGCTGGAAATGAAGTGTGTGCTCAAGTCCCATTGAAGCCAGGTAGATTGTAAGCATATGCTGAAATGCTTATTTAAATTGGGCCCTTAATTATTATGTGCTATGAGATTGAACTACGTTTCATATTATTTTCATACATCTATATTTATCTACGTGTGGGTGGGTGGGTGTGCAAGGATATATGTAAGCTGTTCACTAAAGAACATTAAATATAAGGGGAAAAAAAGAATCCCCCACACCCTTCCTCCTAAAGTGGCAGATTATTTGATGGTTTTGACAAGCAAGATTTTAATGTTTTGCTGAAATGGCCATTTGTTCAACGAAAGGAAAGAAAAAAAAGATCAGAACTTGTTTTTACTGATCTTCCAGTACTGCACTTCAGGTATGCTGTGTGTGCACACAGGGCTGCAGGGACCCCAGCCCATCCCTGCAGATCTCTGCATAGTGATCAGACGCTTCTCATCCAAGCAGAGGGCATCTCTACATGCATCTAGGGTTTTGTAATTCTATTAATCAGCTATCATTAACTTACATCTGTTCTCTAATTCTGTCAGTTATTTCTACCAGTTACATTATTCTACCATTATTTCTACCATATCAAGTTTAAAGTTATGTTTAATCTACTGGTAACCTATCTACCTGTGGATTTTCCTCATGATAAATCTCTGTCCCATCAGTTTACTAAGGGCATAGATTCACAAAGCTTTAGCTGGTATCACTGGCCTGTGCCTTACCAAGACGAGCTGGTGTTTCTGATATTGTGCAAATGCAGGAAGCTAATAAAATTGGAGGGGGGGGAGTAATAAAAGATCTTAAATACACAGGTTAAAAAATGTTTTATAGACCGCCAAATGTAAGCTAGGGAGAAAATGAAGGCTTTGAGGAAGGATTTGATTTAGAGGGGCAAGATGTTTGGCTCCAAGCAGAGAGAATGAGCAGGCGCAAGTGAAACAGCATGGCCTATCCCAAGGAAGGGACAAAAATCTGGTCCAGCAGGAGAGCAGCCCACTGGTAGGAAATGAGGGAAGGTGAAGTAGAGTCCTGAGGGGTTTTACAAGGCAGGAAAGTGGTTTTGAATGGAATTCAGCAGTGGATAAGAAGGTGACAGTGGATGGGAACAATGTGATCCCATTTCTTAGAATGAGAAATAATCCAGCTATGAAAGTCTGTATCCACTAAACTTACAAAAGAAGGAATTTTTTTCATCTTTTTAAAATAAAAAGAAGATTTGCAATTGCTGAGGTGTAAAGTCAGGTCTGGGTATGGATGAATTGCCATACTGCTTGTAAGATAGTGACAGACCTACCAGTGAGGAGATGCAGCCAAATCAGGAAAGCTTGGGCTTATTACAAGTGATGAAATGATATACTACATACCCTCAAGTAGCAAATAAGAAGCCACTAACAAAGAACAAGGCAGAAAGGAGACTTTCTCTGCTTGTCTAAAGACAGACCTGGAGCAAAGGCTATGATGCCCATGACTCCGGGGTTCTGCAACTACCCTCAGCATATTTCTTCTAACTTTGTCCCGATTCAGCTTTAGCAGTTGCTGCCAGCTCCCATAAATGCATCTCCCATATGAGACATGGCGCTCGAAGCCCAACTCCTGCCCTATTACTCAATAAGCTAAAAAATGTGTTGCCATAAGGTTTTATCACAGCTGAGCTCAACCACGATGCTCAGAAAAAAAAACCCAAGCCTGTCAGTGCAACACTGTCTCTCTTAGCATGCAGAAAGCAAAAGGCTGCAAAAATGTTTTATGTTTCTGTTCCATCCCTGAAGTTTCCTGTTGTTTAGAAACCTCCTGGATGCAAGGGAGATGAATTATTGATATGCCAGCCTTGGGAAGGAAAAGCAAGGCAAGATTAGAAAAAGGGAAGGGACCTTTGTCTGGAGTAAACTGTATAAAAAAGCAGGACATTCGGTTCCCAAGGAGCCCTGCACAATAAAGAGAAATCAGAGTACCGTGGTCTGTGTAGTTTATAAACTACTAATCATGGGTGGTTCAGTGCATGCTGCTGGCTTCAGTGTGTGCACAGGGATTTGCCTTCCCTTAAGGACTCCTCTTCCACCCAAGTCTCCCCATCTAGAGGGGGTGAGAAAAGCAGGCCCCATGTGTCAAGCTCATGAGAAAAACTGCCATTCAACCACACCAAAAAAACCCATCTGGTGCAGAGCTGGTCTGGAAAAGGACCCTTTTCAACTGAAAGCACCCTCCAGCAGGTTCTCTCCTTTAAGGCAATACTACTGTGCCCTCACCAGGGGCTCTGGGGTTAGGACACAGGATCTGAGGAATTAACCCGCCTTGCTAACACCTTGTCCTGCAGACTGCTATTTACAGTTTGATTACCCCCATCAACTGGGACAGAGCACTTCTGCATGATTAACACGTGTGTGGCATTACACCACTGATATCTCCCTACTTCTCTAAAGATCCTATATACAGCTCACCACCAGCCACTTCCCCCTCAGCTGTGCACACTGAAGGCAGGCAGGAAAGTTGCAAAAGCATTTACTCACTCTTCCGTGTAATTATGTCCACACTGTTCTTAGAAAGTAGAGAGTCACGAGCTAAAACTGCAGCATGTAAAGACATACCTGCAGCACCGGTGTCCCCACATTGCACCTTCGTAATCACAGCACAGGGGCAGCAGCCGAAGCACAGGAAGCAGAAAAAGGACCCTTTGTGGGTGCTGAGCTGCACAGGGGTCACCTGGAAGGCTGAAACAAAAATAAGCCAGGCTGAGACACTTGTGGGTGATGGTTGTAGCTGGAAAGTAACTGAAAGGCTCTGTTTGGCCAGAGAGAGAACAAAAACTGGTCTTTCAGCTCACTGACAAAACCAAACAACAGAAAAGGAACACCAGGAGGAAAGACTGCCTGAAGTGGATGTGAAATATGTGCTGGTTTGGGGTTGGTTTGCTTTTTCCATAGCTGAAACGTTGGAGGAAAAGTAAGTTGAAGGCTGTATTTTGGTTCCTTCATGAACGTTTAATGTCATTCTCAAGCCATTTCAATGAAACTGAAGTAAATCTGAAGTAAACATTGGTTTTGAACAATGCTACTGAAAGGCTGTCTTTAAAATGTCAACATTAAATGTCTCAATGTTTTCAGACTTGTTTTAACTGCAACAATTACTCATTTCCCTTTACAGCAATTTTGTAGTTATCTTAAATACATGTTCACCAGTGGGGAAAAAAAAATGTGGCTGAAAATTGTTACCCTGCATTATTTACCAGTACAAATTTTCACATGAAAAATATCAGACCAAAAATAAATGTCATCCAGCAAATAATTTATTTGATTGGATGCTGCTTATAAGGATGGACAGAAGTAAAAAGTACCATGACATCCCTAAGTTCACTTGGCAAGAGTGAATGGAAACGTCCTCCTGTAATAAGAAAAAGGATGCTTTAGATTTGCATTGGCCGCCAAGTCTATGAGTAAGATAAGGAGCCCCCGTGGCAACACAGAACCAGGGTAGTCAGCACAGCCAGTTAAAAACAATAACAATTGTTGGTCAAGAGGTTTTAACATTTCCATCTGAATTTTTCACTAACCATTTCTTTTCCTTCTCAATTAAACATGAGGAGGAGCGACATGGATAATGAGTTTTGTCACCTTCTGCATGTGTGACTTAGTAACTCTAAGAG